AGAAAGCTGAATGGTATCTTACGTGAAATTCATTAGGAATGCATTCCATACAAATAGACGAACAACAAATTAGTAGAGCTACTACAGTGTTTAAATGATAGCTTACCATAATGCTTTTTATATTTTCCTCTTAATAAAATCTAACATTTTTTAAGGATTTCAGATGGAGAAAAGGTTTGCAGTACTTTCTGAATGTCACAGTACTTAAGATGCCAAAAAAACATTCCACCTCTACCTACATGTAAATGATATACAACTCCGTTCAACAGATAAAGATCCACAGAGAAGTAAATGGCAAATGTGCCTCCTCACAGAGAGATATTTGTATCTCTCAGATTTTCAGCAGGAATCTCTCTACAATCAGAATTTGTAATTTTTTGTGTGGTATAATGCTTCCAACACATAGCAAATTCCTCTGCTTAGTAAAATAAACAAATACTTCAGTAAATATTCCAAGGAATCTAGATGTGCTTAAAAGAGACTGCTCATGGAATTAATATTCAAATCACATCCATAATGTTTTTTTTAATTTTAAATAAAGCCATTCCTATCAAACAATAAACAAAGCCAGTAGGGCAGTCGAGGTTTACAGCTCCCAAGATGATCACTCATCATACAAACGCTCTCGCCATTTTAGCTCCATCAATAAATCCTTTGAAAGAACCGAGGAGGAGTGGCACCTTGATATTAGCATGTTCCAAAGGAAGCTGCAGAAAACTTCAGAACCGTAAGCTGTAATGCACTGGAGGCACACAGGGAGCAGTTTTCCATCTGTGGACACAGACAACTGGCAAGGAGCCAGGCACTACCACTGTAATGGTGGCACAAGGGAAGAGAACCTTCTAGCAATCCACTGCTTCCTACATGTGCATGGCTCTGCACAATCTGCTAACTACTGACTGCTAAGCTGACCCAAGGGTAGGATGCGTTTCCTGATGTTGCTGAGGTTAAGCCATGCTGCCCTATTTTAATCTCTTAGAACCATCAGTGCACTAAGAGTAGCAGAACGGAACCCGAGTATCCGACCAGTTTGGGCTGCAATAACTGGCAAACCTGGTGTTCCCAGACTGCAGTCAAAACAAGCATGAGAAAAAAATCACAGCTTTTTTTTTTTTTTTTTTTTTTTTTTTTTTTTTGTTTAAGCCGCAGTCAAAAGCCTTCTTGAAGTCTTATTTACAAGCAAATCAGTCTCAAAGGCTGAATTTGCATAGGCAGGGTTTGGAGACTGCAAAATAAACCTTTCTAGGTAGTGTTTTCCTTCTGCCTACAAGTGAGGGATGTTTTCCAGCATAATTTCTCCCAGACTGCATCCCTTTCAGACTGTGCTGAAGAAAAGGCCTAATTCAACACAGCTGGCCTCACCAAGCTTCCCCAGAGCCCTTGCACTCTGAGCATGCACCTGCAATCCTTCCTTTAGGAACTCGGTGAATGGCAACACACAATTGGACTCTCTATCGACTGGGTCAAATCACTACTACCATTCAAAAATACCAGGATTTACAGAAGCTGCTTCCTAGTTGCAAATTCTTTGACAGAAATTGTTCTCTTTTAGGGATACTATATATTCTAGCATAGTGAATGCCACAGACCATCTTTTAAATATGCATTTCCTTAACACTGAGGTTCCAAGTTGAGAGCCAAGTTCTTGCTTGAAACAAATTCTATGATGGAACTCCCAGAATAAATGGTTTGAATCACCTACATTTCTTTTCTCCTCTGTCCCCGATTCTCCATTCTCCAAAGATCTTTGTGCCTCTACGCTTTTGCATAAAATGGTGATCACGTGAACCAGCTGTGCTCAACTTTCACTCTACACACAATTGGCTATTCTAATAAAGAGTTAAGAACAGCACTTAGTTGTCTGAAAATTATTACCATGATAGGAAAGCCACAAAAATTACAAAGCATCTGTTAAAATTTCAACAGCAAGGAGAGTGACTTTTCATGGTTTTTAAGTCTCCACTCTTACAACATTCCCATTGAACAAAGCAGAAGTATTTATTACAATTTAGGCTCTTACAATTTCTAAATTTTTGGCATTTTAGTCAAGCAAGTACCAAAAAGAAATCACACAATTATTTGTTAACAAAGGGAATCTTAATTTGCACAACCGCCTTCAAGGACACAACAAAATTAACACAAACTTCTTGGAAAGTAACTCCCCCAAATTTCCTCTTGTAGATGCAAACAACTGGAAAAAAATCTTGCCTCCTTGTACTAGGTGGCCTGGAAGCTGCTTTCAGTTCCATGCACGGCCCTTCCGCCTGGGTGGAGCCACCCAGCACATCCTCTCAGCGGCTCATCACCGAGACTTGCACTCCTCCCTTGCTTAATAATCGTGTGTCACGAATGAGGAATGACCAGAAGATATCTCTATGGTTCTGCAGCACTGACGTGAGCACTAAAGAACAAACTAAAAAAGGTACTCCGTTGCATTGCAGGTGTGCATGTAGGCATGACAGCAACACAAGCAGTTGGCAACACAAGGCAGTGTGCAGGCATGCCCCCTTCTCACATGAGGTGCTGGGCAGATGCCAAGATGCCAAACGCCTGAACACAATCTCTGTCCCTTTGATTTATCTCAGAATATGCAATTTGCAATCACACTGATTCCTGAAAGTATCCTGCTGAGCATTTTCAAGAATAAAGCTTTGGAAGTTTCCCAGTTACCTTTTCAAAAGAGTTAAAGACTCACTCTCCACCATACTCTGTGATGGTTTAATACTTGACATCGGACATAGGGAAAATAAAGCTATTAATGAAATGTCACAATCTCGGTGGATTTGAAGAGCCATAATCAAAAACAAGATGCATGAGATATCGGGGGACTGTCTGAGCTATCAACAGAATCAAAATGACTCAGCATAAGGTAATGAGGCTCTTCAGTTCATTACCAATACAAGAGACAACACAGTAAGGGAGTGCAACCACCACACAGCAAAATACCATCCACTGAGGTGCAGCCTGGAGTTCTGCACACTGCTCTGTTTTAGAACTCACTTCTATGAATTTCAAGTCATCTCACAACCAGGCAGTATTTATTTATAAAAATTTTCCTATTTTCTGTTCAAGTCTATGCAGCAAGATCACTCAGCTCAAGAGGTATTTCAAAGAGTTTCTATTCTTCCCTATTCTTGACGTTTATTTTCCACTTCCAGCCTCCTACTGATATGGTACAAAATGTGACACCAGACAATTCCCAATGCTCTCATTCACCTCTGCATGCTGCTTGAACACTTTTTCCATTCACTTTTTTTTTCCTTATATCCTTTTGCAATTGACTCAAAAGACTACATTATCAAGTGTGCAGCTCCCTGATCATTGACTACTTAAGCTTTAATTACTGTGCCAAAAAAAAAAAAAAAGAGCAAATACCAAGTCTTTTAAAGGTCAGCCAGCCAGTTCTAGAACCTACATCACTATCCCACCTGCTGCCAAGAGCGTTCATGCTTTCAAATCTTGTGAAAAAGACTTCATAGTCTATTTCAAAAGCTCTGAAAACTGCAAAGATCCTCTGACCACTTCCAAATGTTTAAAGGCTCTTGTAAAAAAAGGCCCATTAACTTAAAAAAAAAAAAAAAAAAGTATATATATACTCATATACATATATATATGAAAAAAAAATTATATATATATATATATAAATTTAAAAAGAAAGCTTTCACAGCCAAACTTGACTTAACCATACTTAGCAATAACCTCTGGTGATGGCATCAAAAAACTTAATTACATGCAATGTTACAACATATTATTACACAGTGAGCCAGTGATCTATTAAATCGAACAACACAAATCACAGCACTGCTAGCCACAAAGGAGGGTTGAACTCATTCAGGCTGTAGTAAACTAGAGTGAAGAGTGGTCTATGGCAGCACACTGAAACAATTCCTACTTTTTCAGAAGTTACAATATTTTCATAGAGAAATCCTGAAGTACTCTGCAGACAGCTTCAAAAGCTTCCACAAACAATACTGTGAGCTGTCAGCAACATTTTAATGGAAAATGAGAACAAATACTGGCACTTAGCATCTTTCACCTAAGCGTTCTAAGGAACTTTATAAGCACTAGTACCAGGACAGGTTTAAGTAAGAAAATTATACCCACTTATGAATGGGAAATCAGCACACTAGGCATCATCTGAGCGGTGAAGGAGATGTAGGATTTCTAATGACAACCACTTAGCTGTTCTTATCTTCAGAGCATGATAGTTCTAATGAGATCTGTGTAACTCCAGTAATAGGAATACACAGTTTAAGTAGTATATTTTCTGTTACCCTCTATCATAATATTCACGCTTCCTGTATACGCACAGGAGTAACCAAAGAAGAAAGCATTTCCAAAAGAAGAAACTTAAGCATGTTATTTTATAGGAGCCTTCAACAACTCCGTAAGTGGGAAAATTAGCAGTCATAAATGGAAATGAACATTCTACAACAATGCTGTACTTCAAATATATATTTAGTGCAAAAATAAAGTTTTGATGAGATTTATTTATTGATTACTGAATAATTTTCAACCTCTGCCAGTGTTAAATATGAAATTAATCTTCCACTGCTTGTTATTTTTAATGCCTGTGACAATTGCAACTATACATGATTAGGGCAGAAGAGAATTTTGAATTTATTATACCTGCAAACACAAAAAATGGATGAGAATTAAACAACCATATGTAATTTTACTACCGTATTTATTTCCCTCTGAAGCTGTTTAACTACAAAGATGCCAATTTGTAAGTACTCTAACACAAACAGCTAACATGAGCAGACAAATCAGTTATTAGAACTAGGCAGTCTGTTACAACAACTGCCTACTCTGATTTTTAGAGATATTATGTATGTGTACGTATACAAAGTGTGTTACCTCTTTTAGCATCTCTACGAAAACACTGGGCTTATTTTTTTCCACTGAATAGCCAGTATCAGACTACATTCTTACTTATCTGATTCAGGTAAAACATTCCTTGTACCGTGGCCATGAAGAGGAAGAAACACTGCACTTACTTGTTAAAAAGGTTTAGCCCAATTCTATAATGCCGTTTCCTGATAATATCGTTACTGAAGGCAGGGGAATCCCAGCTGTTACGAGTTTCCTTGTGGTATGTTTGTTTGCTTAAGGTTTGCTCCCTTAGGCTGTCTCTAGAAGAAGACTCTGAGCTGCAATTTATTGTATCGTTAGAGTTGGAAGTGCTGTTGATGCTGTCATTGTCTCCATCCGAATAATCAGACTCTGATTTGCTTTGTCTGTTTGCTGTGCCATTAATAGCTAAATGACTGTCTATAGGCCTAGGCCTATGTCTTGCCTCCTGCTCCTCTCGGGATATAATCTTGGCAGGAATATTGTGAGGGATATGTTTTGGGCTTCCCTGTTGACTAGTGATTCCTCGATCATACGCATTTTGTCTCTTTAATGAACCTCTCTCTGAGCGATCGCTCAAGTCCACTGAGCTGTCACTGGGTGGCTCTATAGTTAGCAGTGGTAGGTGATCCATCCTTATCCTCTGTTCCTGACATTCCAGTGAAGGGGTGCTCCTGCAGCTCGTATCAGTGTCTATCTTATCATCTTTGTGGGTCATGGACCAGTACTCTTGAGAAGAGTTCACTGACCGGAGCCTCAGATCAGATTCTGTGCTGGACGGTCTGTCCACTGACTGGGAAAGCGGAAGGGGTGGAGATAACTCCTCCTCATCGATATACAACGTAACATCACTATATGAAGCTGTCATCTCATCAAGCTTCCTGTGATCCACGCTGTGCATCGTTGGTTTGGTTTGAGCACAGCTATCCCTTTCCATTTCGCGGCTTCTGACTTGGTCAGGAGCTTGGACTTCATCAGAATGTAGGCTACGGCAGTTCAGTGCATCATCAATGGACTCGGCGAGGGATTTCACCTGCCTGGAAAAAGCATCCTCCAGCTCTGTTATAGCATCAGCAAAGTCAGTAGACGTTGCTGGAGACTTCATTGTAGCTGACTCTCCAAGGTCACTGCATTCAGATTGCACTAGGGATCCCAGCTTTGACCCATCATTTGTAACAGAAACTTGTTTTCCTTCAAAATAAGAGCTGTGGACTTTCTCAGGTCCTTCAAAGGAAAACTGCATTCTCATATTGGACAGTACAATGCGTCTTGACATACGATTTTCAGACATAGAACTTCTAAGGCGCTCAAAATTTTTGTTCATCTGATACTGGCGAAAAGCTGTCTGGATGGTCCGAGCAGCATGCCGAGTTATGAGACGGCCTCCATACTTCCGTTCTAACATTTCCACCTATGAAGGAGGGAACAGTTACTTCACAACTCGATGAGGGTTACAACAACAAAGAAGATTAAGAATTCAGCAACTTTTTCATAGAATGTACTGTTCATAGAATACTGTTTTGGAAAGTAAAAGCTCAAAGCTGTAGACAAATTACTGCACAGACAGTGAATAGTCATTTGCAGAGACCAGCATAAAAATACACACAAAAATACAAGTGTGGCAACTGAACTCTGCCATATAAAGCTGCTAGAAACTTGTGTGTGTTTTAAAGTTTGTTTCCACACATTTCCATTGGTTTGCCCGTATCAAAGACAGCCTAGAAACGCCACATAAAGCAATGGCTCTTTCTAGGGAGAGCTGTTACGAAATACAAGTATGTTACAAGATAGCATATTTTAGTAATAAATTCTAAAAATGGCTGTTGCTATTCCAGGCATGCAACACTTTCTACATGAATAAAAAAGCACATAGCACCCTTTCATTGAAGCCTGACACCAAAGCAAAACCAAGCCTCCTAGGCTGCACCCTTCTAGAGAGGTTGCTCTGCGAAAGTATCCCATATATAGTCTTCCTCAAACCAAGAACATGCTTTTTAGACTTTCTAAAGACAATTTTGTAGCTATTTTCATTCTTGTAATTACACTCAGCATTGCCAATGCTTCCAATTAACAGAATGAATATGCAAAATAAATACACTGTAAATCCTATCAATTTAACCAGAAAATGACATCAGTAGTTTTGGAATACTCTTTAGATATTTTCAATCTTTCCTTCCAAAACATCAAAAATATTCTGTATTTAAAGATAACTGAATAAGATTAATATTCCATCTTTCCTGTTATTTCTGTTCTTCCTGTTAGCCTTTACTGGATCCATACTACTCACAAATAGAAAATGTTCTTTCCAAGTAAATGTTAAGTTCAGATGTCAATGTGCAGAGAGGAGTCATCCCCATATTGAGGAAGGAATGAAATGCTACTAGAAATATCCTCTGGTCCATAGTGTCTGCCATTGAGGATCAGCTGAAGAAGTACTTCTTTTGGTGCTAATGGCAGGTTCAGCAGTTCCGGATTCCTTGCCACATAAAGTTGATCTTTTTAGCTAGGCTCTTTTTAAATGCAAATCACTGACATCTTGGTTTGTTTTTAAGTACAAACCACTGATGCTTTTGTCTTGTTTTTGTTCTAGATGCAAAAAAAAAACATTGTGTGTGGTTATTGGCATAACTGAGGAGGACAAATGTACTCAGGTCAGGATTACTGCTAAAGAACTGCTCTTCTGATTGCATTTAATTTTTCTTTAAACTGAATTCACAAAGCTGTGACTGATCTCTGAGATAGGATTCTGAACATCTCTCAAAATGTATCCCTATTTGCTTTTAAAAGACATTTGGCCTTTCACTTAAAGAGAAAGTTATGTTACTTGTTGCACATCATGAGGCTGTGAAGTTACTTGTACAGAATTCTGAAACTGAAAACATGACTATGACCTTCTATCATAACCCTGCCACTGCTGTCACACATTCATTACCATTTCTATCCATAGAATATACGAGGTCATGTGTGTTTAAATAAGTTGTAAGAAATTGTTTTCCTGGACTGATAGCAAGCAAATGATGGAAACTAATTTTCTATAAAATAAATAATCTGGACTTATTCTTGCAAATAGGCTGTTGTCGTTCAGGTTTACATAGAAAATGATATCATAACTGACTATCATAAATCAGGGAGTTTTGACGGGAATTCTAATTAGGAGTATCTTAGAACTTGCCTAGATGATTTACTGAACTTATGACTGATACTTCTAATACATTTTAATGCATATTTAACACACTTGTCAAAGCATATTTAAATGCACACTGCCTTCAGGTAACACCTTGGGCATTTTCCTAAATAATTTACGTATCTTCTGAGATCTCACTGAGAGCTTTTTAAGAGCATTTAACAGCTCTTAGGTATCAAGCTCTCCTCATGTACCACTGTCACTTTTTACTGCGTAGCAGTCCCTGAACAAATACAAAATAACATCTGCAGTCCTCATTCCCTATCAAGCTGACATAAAAGGACACACAGAATTAGCCTCTGTGGAATATCTGCAGTGCAGGACATCTTTTTAGTGAGCCTAGCACTCTATATCAACCTCTTATGCAAGACCTATCAAAAAACTGCCGCAGGTATAAAGGAAGTAATGTTTCAGATCTCACAAGAAGGTCTAATTTAATGGCAGGCCTGTCATAAGGCAGCTCAAGAAAGGGAAAAACTTGATATTTTCCCAATATTTACAGAATTTGGTGAGCATAAAAGCAAACCTAAACTCATACTCATCTAGAGCACTGGCTTCATCTTTAAGTTGGAGCTCAAGCTCTGTTCTTCCAGATCACTCTGGAGAAACATTATATGCCTCTCCAACTTGAAATTTTAGAACAAAAAGATGTCTTGACAGAATACCAGCAGTAACAGGCTCTTCCTTTCTTTCAGGATCAACAAAGATATCCAGATTTCAGAATGACTGACTGTCTTAGAAAGCCATCTTGCACTATTACATTCTTTCAAATAGTACTAATCTCAAGCATCAACTCACCATTCCTGACAGTTTTTACTTTTAACAGTATTAACGTATCTTTCAGGTGTTTCTTCAGAGATTATAACAAAAATTCAAAAATAATTCAGAAACATTCATTTTGAACAAAGTTGATTGCAGGAAAAAAAAATTTTCAGCATCCTAACTGAAGTAATGTTGGAAAAATAATTTTTCCAGCTTACAAACATGTTGTCATTGTCATAAATGAGGCAAAAAATCTCAAATACCTGCTTATCCTGTAGGTCTGAAGAGAGTTCATAGCTCTCAGAAAGTGATCTTGACCTTTTAATAGCTTCTTCCTCTGCTTGTTTTCGCAGTATTGACGTCGAGTGCTGAAGTTTTGGCCTCCGAGTTCTTTGTTGTCCAGGGGAGACAGAATACAGCCCGTAAGCTGAATGATCGTAATGGTCCGGACTTATAGCTGAACTGTGTGTTATAGGTCCTTGATGGTAAGCAGATGGGCTGTCCAAAGATGTGCCAGTTTCACTACTTGGAGCTTCACCCTCAACACTAGAGAGACAATAAGAAGACAGGAAAATCCTATGGTGAGTATTTGTACCAAAATCCTCACTAACAAATAGCACAGTTTTGCCTAGCATAATTCTGCAGCCATCCAGCACATTTAGTTCAAATTCAGATGCAGATATTATAAGGCAAAATAGACATTATGTTAAATGTGACAGTTTTCACCATAATCTAAACAAGTTCTATTTTTGTTGTGGAGGTCACCTTTAGAAGGTGAGTCATGCAGGAGAATGGAGATTTCAAGCATTATTTAACTTTATAGAGTAATTATCAGTAGCATCCAAAGTAACTTAGCAATTGTAATGTAAATGAAAACTTCATTTCTTAGAAGATTTGGTTGTGATCTTTTCCAAACTATTCTACTTCAAAATGACAGATGCTTATTTTTATCTCTTTCCTTGCTTTGACAAATAAAACCAATACTTTCTTACCAATACTTTCTGAATTAAATGATTACTTTCACTTTACTCAAAGGAGATTTGACAGGATCTTGTGTGCTATAATGTTCCTCAAAACTAAAGTTGGGAAAAAATATCTCCAGAAGAAATTTCATTTATTTCTCTGCTAGTGAAAGATTGCTCCCATGAGATACTTTTGGCATGCTTTCTATTAAAGTATCCCAAGGGATGGTGTTTTGAGATAATAGAAGTAAAATATTTTCAGGTAGGGAAGACAAAATAGGAGCTATAAAACGCTTTGTTTTCACATGAATGCTGTCACTGCTATGAGATAATGAAAAAACAAAACCAAAACAAAACACCTCTGCATTAAAGATTTGCACAAAAGGAAACATTTTAAAACTGAATCCTAGTCAGCTTTATGCTGATGCAGTGATGACTTTTTAACAGTAATTTTTTTTTATTTGTTTGATATTTATATTAGGACATTCGCACATTACAATAGCATGTGTACTTCCTCACTTTCACAGTATCTGTTTTTCCCATTTCACATAAATATTTACTATTTGCCTCATACAATGTACAGCCAGTACTGATAGAAAATGAAATCCTATTTACTATTCCTTTTTAATCTGAGTCCCAGTAAGCGCTCCTCACACACACACAGACACGAGCACTTGCAGCACTTCCCCTACCTTTCGTTTTAGGAACAGGGAGATCCAAACTCTAAAGGAATACAGTTCCATGTGCTCCCCCAGTATTTTCTGGTTCATATAGTGCTTTCATTCACACATACGTGAACATCAAACATAAAGCCCTTCTGTTGTCTCTTGGAAATGAAATGCTGTGATCCTCGCTACACACACATACCACAGCAGTGCCTGCCACAGTTCAAAGTACGGAGCGACTTCTGAAAGAACATTCTCCACCGGACTGCAGTGCCAGAAGAGATCAAGGTTAACACTGTCAAAACTCCCCTAGCTTGAACACTGTGTACTTTCTAAAGTGCAGGGAAAAACAAGTCCCTCAGATGTCTCAAAATGTTTCTATAAACACGTAGAACTGAAGTTTCTCTTTCTTTGCAAATCCTCTTCCTTCGCCCATCAAAATATGACTCCATCCAAAAGGTATTTGCAAATATACTTTACCCAAGCTGGAAATATTTGCAGTCTACACACATCACTTTTTCCAAAAAGGAAGCTGACAGGAAACTAAATCCCCTTCCCTCAATGACACAGATGGCTTTCAACTTAAAAATGATAAATGATCCGGAGTTTTGCTAGTGACATTGAAACTGTGTAACCGCCCACTAACAGCAACAAGTTATTCTCCCTAACGCAGCCTTTAAGTACATTTATATACTCTAAAACTCTTCACATTCTCTCTTTAAGTACTGCAATACAATTCTCTGTTCTGCTGAGCTTAGAAACTATCAGAGGCTCCTAATTTAAATCTTATTTGTAAGTACTTTTCATACACATACAGTAAATTTCTTTAATGACCCAGTCAAAATAAACAAGAATTCAAGAATCATCACTATTTCCCTCTTAGGTTCCACTGCATTTTTGCTTTTCTCTTCCCTTAATTCCTAACTATTTACAAACCCTTCCACACCGATAACCATCTCATGTTGGCATCTTAATAACAATATCCCCAACGGATCACTTAATCTTTTCTCGACAGAAACATTACTGCCCTGCTAGGAAGGAATTGGAAGCAGATATACCCAGGGTTCCAACCAAAGCTTGAGGTTTCTTCTTTACTTGCAGTTTTTCTTTCGTACCTTTTCCCAACTCAAACATGAGCCCTGAATGAGATGGAACGCCTGATCTCACTTTGCTCACAGGCCTAATTCCCTGCCATCACACGTCAGGCCTCTGAAGCAGGAAAGTAATTACCTTTTGCAACGTGCAGCTTCCTGCACAACAGCACGACAGCCTTTAAAGCAACAGAGCACGCACAACTACAACTGCGTATTTGAAAGCTTTCTCCCATTCATTTCTTTCTATTAACTGAACAGGAGCTGAGGCTTCACACAAATTATTTCATATAGATGAAAATTCCACTGACAAAAGCATTTTGATTTCTTCTTATTACTACTTTACATACGTTTGGAAGTGAAAAATATTTCAATATACACAACTGTATGAAGTTTTAATGACAACAAAAATGATTGCTCTGCTAAGGAGGAACCGCACACGGAGCATTGTGCAGGAGTGCACAATTGAGAACGGTCCTGTCCACGTCCATTCTGAAAAGCTGTGTGCTCAGAACGGTACCTTTGCTTCAGCCAGCCTCTGCAGGGTTAGAAGGTTCTTTCAGCTACCCTCTCACTAAAAATGCCAACAGATAAAAACCTCAGAGGCTCTGTTCCAAGCTTGCAGCAACATCTAGCAGAAGTCCTCTATGACAACAGGAATAGATGGGCACTTTGGGCATCACTTCCCTCAGCATTCACCTTGCACATGCTTTCTTATATAGGTAAGAAATTAAGTACCTTGAGTGCTCTGCAAAAACAGACAACGCTACCTAGTCCCAGGCAAAATGAGAAAGAAATTCCTAACTAAGGCCTCTGATATCTGCTACCTACCCACGTCAAGAAGAATTACTGCTAATTCCAGGACATAAACTCACAGATGAGGTTGGTTTATCTCCCTGCAATTTACCAGAGCATATTACTCGGGAAAAGAGCACTGCAGCAAGCATTCCAATTCAGGAGAAGGCAGAACAGTTGAGACATGAACCTTTCATTTCTAGAACTTTATCTCTAGTATCGCACTCCTGCCTCAGGAGTAAATAGAGATTCATAATCTGCCAAGACACAAAACGAGAACAGTTGCTTGCCAGTATTTTACTGAGGAGCACTACACAGAGAACGGAAATTAAACATCTAAAAATATTTAGTACTATTAACGTGGTTTTGCATGAATAGAACTTTAGAATAGAGCCATGGAAAATCTTTGCTTCTTTGAATATCTAAAATACTTTTCTGAAAGAGTGGGCAGCATTGACTGAATCAGCATTTTATCAAAAGGAGTCAAAAGCTTCTTCATGCACAACCTCAGCTTGCACTGCTATTAAGAAACACACTGTATCAAGGATCAAATGAGAAGATGAAAAGCTCAGAGAAAAATGAAAAACTAGAGAACGGGACTTTTGACATGGCAGCAAATGTTTGAAACTACTGGCAAAAAAATCAGACAAACTGCACTTCTTCCAACTAATACGAGCCAGTGTAATGCCAAAGATAGATAGACTTGGGCATTTTCTTCTCTTTTGTGTGTTTGGCTCTATAGAGTTCCTGCAGAAGCTAAGCAATGCACTCTGCAAACATTTTTAAATTAAAATACATCAACCAAAGTGACATTTGTGCACAGGAGCAGGACCTGCTCTTTCCATCAGCAGGGCAGTGAGCTCAAGGTCAATCCGCAGTGCAGCTAACCCTGAGTTCGCCCACCACGTGCACTGGGCTCAACAGCAGCAGAAACAGAGTCCACTGCTCTCTCTGAATGAAAGGCACAACAAGGTGCAGGCAGTGGCTGCCAAGGAGCTGCTTTTCTAACTCATTTGCCTAGATGTCAAACCTGAATAGCACGGTGCATAGCTGTATCTTTGGACTCAGGTAAGTATACAATAGATCCAAGCTGACAAAATACTAAGCACAGGCTGCTGCTAACTAGAACAAAGTCAGTTGGATTTTTTTTCCTTTTCATACACTTGTTTCCCACCATAGAGGTGACAGGTTCATCTCTGGAATTATGTAATAAGAAAAAGCTCTGTCATCCTCCTTCCCTCTGTCCATAGCTGAATGCAGTGACGTGCTTAACCACAAGGGAGGCCAACTGTTCCTCTGTGGGCACTCTAGTCACATGAACCTGGCACATCTTTTCTTCCCTGTATCTCATTTTACATCAGAATCTCATCATTCACATCAGAAATTAGTACTTGTGATCACACGGGCTGTAATTAGTTGATAAGTACACTAAATGCATTACCACCTTTTATAATCACATATTAATTGGGATTTTTTAATATCTACTACATTCTTTGGTGGGGTTGTTTCCACTTCTCAAAGACCTGTGGGGCTCTTACGTTCAGAACTTCCTCTTCCTTCAAACCTTATCAACTACAGTCTTAGCAAAAGCAATTATAAGCTCAATTAAAAAAATTGAAAAATAAGAAAGCTTCAACATTTGAGCTTAAAATAGAAACTGGAAAGAGTTCCAAAGACCTGAGTTTCAGTGAAGAGCAAACTCCAGGCTTTTCCATAAGTGTAGATTTGCTCACTGCACTTACAATAATGGCAAAACAATTGGTTTGGATGACAGAGGATAACCAGAAAAAGTAGAAATTCACTTTCTTCTGAGGCCCGCTGTCCTATCTTTAAAACTGCACAATGTGAATGAACGAGCTCAGTAATATCAGATGCAAGGAACCATTTAGTATTCCCATTTGCCCCAGAAATCTCACAGTCTGCAACTCCCAAACTGTCCCAGAGCGCTTACAGAACTGCAACACAAAGATACTGTGAATTTATGCCTACAGAAAACTTCCAAATGCTGAAGCCAATACATTGTAGCCTTTGTT